TATGTGAAATTGAATGGAAACGTCAGCTCAACTCATATGATTGTGGAAAAATTCTTTTTCTACCATTCCTTCGTCACCTTAAACGAAATTTGGTGAATACATCTCATATATAATATTAGTTGAATTTTCTTACAATCAATTGAGTAGGATAGATATGATTTATTCACTCTAATTCGTTTACGACGATAAGGCAATTATATTAGTAGACCTTGTGTTTTTATTGCATCTACCCAGTGACTCATTGGTATCCCTCGGCCATGTCGTGCAGGGGTGACGTTGCCAGAATACTCATGGCACAGGCTCGAATCCCTATGTAGGCGGTAATGATACAGTAAGGCGGGAAGAGACAAGGCCAAATGAGATTTATGTAAATTCTATTCATCTGAGTATGAAAAGCATTCAATTATTAGACATTAAATAACTTTATTACGCATAGAAGTTGTTTGACCTTGTTTTCGCAACTCGGTTATGTTAGTAGGAAGACTTATAGGAACTCACCGAGTCCGGAGTCCATTTTATGCATCATCATTTCCAAAGTCGGACCATAGACGTGGTACATATCCGGACATTTCGCCAGCATCGTAGTCGGAAACTTGTCTCTTTGACGAGTTGTTGTATGGTGCCAAGAATGGCGATACTCACTGAAGATGCCAGCGAATCGCCTGTGAATGTTCCACGTCCACGGTCCTACTCTGGAAATGATCATGCCTACAATAGTCTCCGGACTCGGTGCGTTCCTCTAAGTCGTCCTGCCAACATGACCAAGTTGCGAAAAAAGGTAAAACAACTTCTATGCAACAAAAGGAGTCTGCGACCACACATAAGGTCACATCATCTTGGTCTTCATACCTTCGATTTTATTATGAATAGCGCAAAAGCTATTCCCGTTGAGGGGACTAGACATGTTACAAAAGTTTTACCAAAACTATACAACAAAGAGAAACTGTGAATAAACCATCTTGCTTTTATATCTGGCGTTGAAGATGTCCCTTCGTTACTCACGTCAGCCGGACTCAGCTCTAGCCGCCTCGGCAATCTTTCCATACTCAGTTGCTCCAATTGGCGGATTTGCTGAATCCTGTTCTCAGACGATCCTGAATTGGCAGAAAAGAACTTTTGGACTTAGATTAAGTCATCAATTTTTGAATCCACATGGAGCATCTTCGGGATTCCATATGCCACAAGGTGGGCTAGTTCAGCCCCACAGCCTCGGACGTTGGGCTCGATCGTGGACGAACAGTGAAATTCGGCGGAAGGCTATGCTGAAACGAATTAGTTCTTCCCATACCAGATCCAAAGCGTCCTCCATGGATCAGAAAGAAGAAGAAAAATAAGTGAGATTAATCTGGATTTTTCGCTGAAAGGATCCTCGACCTGTCAAGCCGGACAGTTTAATCTCTCTCGAATAGGCCTCATCCAAACTCTGCATTTCAAATCATAGGCAACTGATTATCATTGAGAATGAATGATTTCCAGTGAATTTAAAATAAATCTACAAAGAATCATTTTGTGAATAAGTTTGTAAATAAGTGATTACCATTAAACAATACCAAATACCTGAGGGTATGCTACTCTTATGACACTTAAGTTGCTACAGTCCATAGAACGACTTCTTTCGGTTTCAGTGCTGATAGATAGAAATATGACACTAAAAAGTGGGTTTTAGAGACTTCCAATAGATCAAATATATGATTTTTGTTCACCCTATCTCGTT